GAACTAAATTTATAGCTTCAAAGTAGTTATAATAGTTAGGTTTAGGTGTCTTGTGCTTGATCATATCGTAGTTAAAGTCTCCTAGTATCATTGAGTAAATTTTGTTTTTTGCTACTTCTTTGGTTCAGAGGATGACTTTCTGTTGTGTCTGTTTGTTTATAGAGGGATTATTAGGTGTTAGGTATGTAGATATTATTCTTAGCTTGTTGTTAGAGAAGAAAAGATTGATAGCAAGAGCTACTTCAGGGATAGTTTGAATATTGTTGATGTAGGGTCTGAGTTTATAGCGTATACTAATAGCGGTTCCAGCTGATAATATATTGTTACAAGCAAGGAAGGTATGGTAGTATTAGTTTGACAGGTTGTAGCTGTTCCAGGATGATTCTTTTAGTTTAGTTTCTGTAATACAAATAATATCTGCATTTTCTTGATTGCAATATTCAAATCATTGCTGTTATTTTGTATACTTATTGAATTCTCAGATATTATGTATTAGAATTTTGAGTGAGCTTTGTAACAGGTTAGTAGTGGAGTTTGAGATATTTGTAGATGATATAGTATTAGAAGTATAGTTTAGATTATTTGAAGAGTTATGCTTAGCTGTAGACTTTGTGTTAAAGATTCCAAAAGATGGTATTGGATGTGTTGTTTTTGTATTAGATTTTTGTTTGCTACTCATCAGGTATGAATAGAATATCCCAGGTAGGAGGTAGAAGAGGAGGTAGTTTTAGTAAGTATTCAGGAATACTTCTGATTATGAAGTGTTGTCTAAGAGTGTGCAGTTTGTCATTAATACTTTCTTGAATAATAATTAGTATTTATAATTCAATTTGTTTATATGTAAGTTGTGTTTGGAGTTCTTCTAGGGTATTTAGAATTGGTAGTAGAGGTATAGTATTTGATTCAGGAGAAGTATTTTTTCCTTTTTTGTTTGTTGTAATACTAATCCATTGGTCAGGTAGTTTGGTAAAATAATAGTGTTTGCGAAGTATTTTAACAGTGCTAATAAGTTGTGAAGGTGATGTAATTGGAAGAGTTAGGTTATAGTTGACTGCAGTAGTTATCTTATCTAGTAGACATAGTTTGTTAGTTGAATTTGCTATCATTATGTGTTCTGGAATTGGTGAATTTATTTTGTATCTTGCTAATATTTGTGCATAGAACAACTTGGCTATTTTGTTTTCAGTGATTAGGAAGGTAAATTTAGTTTCAGTTCGAATATCTTTTGTTTTCTGTAGTAAAGATAGTTTAGGAATAAAATAATTATTAGGTAGTACTTTAAATGCGTAATACTCTCGTAGAGCTGCTGTTAGTTTGAATAGGTTTATGTTAAAATCATTTGAATCAAGAGGGAAGAGTGATCAGAATCTATGATTAAGTTCTTGATGTGCTGTAGGAAGTTGTGGTTTTGAAGCTGAAAAGTCGAAGTAATTCTCTGAGATTCTTTTGAAATCATATTGCTCTTGTAGTTTTTTCTTGTAGAAAAATAGGTGTTGAAGGTGTTTTCATTGAATTATAGGAAAATAGTCGTATAGTGAGTTGATGAGGTTTATTGGGTCTTCAGGCAGAGAGGGGAGTTGCTGAAAGTATGATCCTGGGAGTTGTTTGAAGGTATAGATTTTGTGAAGTATGTTAACTGCTCCTCTTATATTAGCTCGATTTCATATAGGAAGTGTAAAAGGAAGGATTTTCTGGGTTTCTTCTAGGATAAGTGATGGGTTGATAGGTAATGAGCTTAGAAGTAATTTGTAGGCCTTAGTAATTGCTTGTTTGATAGTGGTTGGTTCTAGTTTTGGAAGTTGTATAAAGCCTCTGTAGTAGTGTATTAGTATGTAAATATTGAAATAGCTAAATCGCTTTAAGTTAATATTAAGTAGAGATTGGATTGCAAGATAAGCTTTAAGCATTTGTGAGATAGTATATCTGATTTCTCTATTGGTAAGCATGATGTTGTTCTTGAACTTGTAATTATTTGTGACTATAGTTTGTAATTCTTAAAATTCTTTTTGATATGCTAGAAGGGTACTTTTGTTTTGTGTAAAAGTTATAAAAAAGGTTGTATCAAGGTGTTTGAATTTTAGGCTAATAGCTGGTGAGATTGTGTGATTAGTAGGCTTTGTTTGCAATTTGTATTTTAGAAACTCTGCGATTCTATCTGATGTTTTAAGTGAGGTTTTGATTCGTTCTAGATTCCATTCTGTCGTGTTGAAATCTGGAAGTTCATTTTTTTCTATGTTGTCAATAAGGAGATCTGCCCATTCGTCACTATGATCTGTAGTATATGTAGAGTTAGGGTAATACAAATTAGATTGTGTAATTTGAGCATAGGATGGTTTATAAAAGCGATTTTCAGAGTTGTCTGTATGAGTTAGTATATCTTTTCTAGAACTAGTTTTAGTATCATCTATAATTGTGTCATATGTTTTTAATATTAAGGGTGATAGAGGTTAGCTATTCATATATGGATAGTTTTGGTCTTGCATAATTGTAGTATCAATACTCATAGATATGCTATAAGATATAGTTTGTTGAACAGAGAGTTGTGCAGTATGTTGTTCTTCTATTGTATTAGTCGTTTCTATATTATTGGTGTTACTAGTTGAGTAGTTAGATATTGTACTAGTCTAGGCATTTGTGTTGTTTAGAGGGGTATTCGTGTTTGAGATCTGTTTGATGTTAGTAATAGTGCTTTTACTTAATATAGTACTACATATAGAAGATGTAATACATGTATTTGGATTAGTTGTTGTAGGTGTATTGTTAGAAGGCATATTGCTGAGAAGAAGAATAGGGTCATAAGTAATGCTAGGAAAAGCAGAAGTTTGTTTGTCAGTGTTGGCTTTTAGATATTGGTCTTTAGTATTTTTGTATATTTGTACAAATGATGAGTTAAGTGTGTTATTAGTAGGAATACTAATGGCTACTATAGTAACTATACTTAATTGTGATTTTGAGAGCGTAAAGAGGAATATAGAGTTGCTATTTGTACTGTCGTCAATTCAGTATTTTGAGTAAAGAGAAACATTTTCAATGGAGGTATTTTTCTTTCCTTCTGTTGTAAAGAGTTGGTTTTGGAAGCTTGGAATAGTAAATGTAACAAGAAAGGTTAGTTCGTTTGCATTAATAATAGTGATATTGAGGATTTCTTTTGAGTATATGTTGTTGTTGTCAATATCGCTATGGTATTTAGTAGTAAATATGTTTATTGTTGTGTCGATGTTTGATGTGTTTGTTGTTGTTGTTGTGAGGTTTTTGTTGTTGTTATTGTTATTATTCATAAAGACATTGTTGTTAATTATATTGAGGCAAGGCCTCTTTTCTCCCCTTTGGTCAGTATTCTTCAGTGTCTTAGTATTCTTGTTATTTTTGTTTAATAGGTTTGAGTTGTAGTTAAATTTTCTTTTAGTTAGGTTCCTTCTAGTAGAAAGATTTTCTTTGTTAAAAATTGTAGAAATAATAATTTTTTGTTTTAGCACAGTAGTAAAAAGTTTAGTACAGGAAAGAGTTTTTTTTTTTTCTATTCTTTGCTCTTTTATTAACTTTGTAACAAACTGCTATAGTAAAGTAATATTTTACTTAGACACTATTGAGAGCTCTTCTTCTATATCATATATTACTTATGTTGTAAAAAGAAGGTTGATAATGGTAACAATATATACAAAGTAGTCCAAGATATAAAATAAAACTCTAATTATAATCTATGGATCTGAATATGTTACTATACTAAATCTACTAGAAATACAAGATATATATATGACCTAAATTAAAGTAAAATCTTTCACCTTGTCAAGATTCAGCAAAGTTAAAGTTATCTGAATATTGTTGAAGCTCTAGAACTTTAAATAAATAACTAATTTAACTAGAACTACTCATATGATGATATCAGTATTATTATGAGAGCATCTCATATAACTCTTTTAGAAACAGAATAAGAAATTTTAGATTGAATCTTACAAGAATCTTTTAACCAATTTTACTCTGAATTTGACTACTATAAAGTAATAAAAAACTTTCAAAAAAATTTTAATAACAGAGTAACCTTTTGCAAAAGTTACTTTATGTCTAAGCAAAAAGTAGAGCTTAAGCAATACAAGGAATATTGCTAAAAATACTATGAAGAATTAAATTCTGAATCTCAACTAAAATCTGAACTACAACCAGAAGATCTATTTATCTAACCTGAATTACCTTCTTAACTCCAAGTTTAACCTAATCTCAACTAAGATAAACTTATTAAGTTATTACAACAACAAGTTGAACAACAAGCTTAGATTATTACTTTTCTTTAAGCTCAAGCTAAGACTTTTAAATACCAGGCTTAGACTATTAAAATCCTTCAAGATAAAGTTAATAATTTTGAAAGATTTTATTAACAAATAGAATATTTATATTAAGAACAATTTTTATAAGTAGATAGTAAATAGCTTACTATTTTAACCTCCTTCTTAAATTTTTAAACTATTCTAAGCAAAATAAAAAACTATTTAGCAACTTAGACAATCTGCTTTCCAAACTTAAAATCTTAAAATCAGCTCTAAATAATAATTTATAAAAGAAATAAATATATACAATTTCTTAAAAAATAGCTTCAAAAATAAAAATATTAACTTCAGACTAAGAATTAAAATTTAAACAACTACTTAGAGAATTTGCAGACCTCTTTGCAAAAGATATTATCTAACTAGGTAGAACTGACTTAGTAATACATAAGATATATATTAAAGATATACCTTCGACCTGCAGGTTGATAGTGCAGTAGTTAGCACTCTCAGGTCGCATTTGCAAGGTCACCGGTTCAATTCTAACTAGGAAAAAAAAGCTGTGCTAGGATCACGGATATTTATGATCTTAAGGAGATTTTCTATTTCTACTTCTGAATAAGAATATTACAAGAATGAATGATCTTACGGGGATTTCCTACTTCTACTTTCGAACAAAGTACTACTGCAATGAATAAGCCATATAACATAGCTACAGAAGTTATATAGCACCTAGATAAGGAGATAATCCAATAAAAAATGTTGTTAACATTAGGTTTCCTAGATTAGGACATTATGAAACAGGTAATAGACATACTAAAAAAGATAGAACCTGTAAGGCCGTGTTGATGGGGAGCTGCGAACCTCAAGAAAGGAGGTTCTACACTGCAGGGCCAAGGACCCAAATTACTACAATAGTAGTAAACTTGTTAATACGTGGTATAGAGGGGCTAGGGAATACCACTGGTGATGTATATAGCAACAAAATATGTAAACTTACAGGAACCAATTAATAAAAGAGCACCAACTATACCCTCGATATTAGTATCAGGGAAATTACAAAAAAAAAAAAAAAAAAATATATACTTTCAATTAGCTTTCAACCTTACTCAGTACCTATTACTAAACAAGCTTTTATTAATAAAGAAGTATAGCAGATACTAGCTAATAGATTAATTAGAAAATCAACTAGTCTCTGAGTATCCTTAGTTGTATTAGTTATGAAGAAAAATAGAAAGAAAAAATTTTAGATAAACTATAGAAAACTTAATATAATAACTAAGAAAGATTCTTATTCTTTACCTCATATAGATAAACTTTTAGACTCCTATGTAAGAGCTATCTATTTTCTATTCTTGATCTTAAAGTAGATATTAGCAAGTAATAATACATCTAGCAAACAGAGAGAAAACAGTATTTATCACTAAGTATAGTACTTATAAGTTCAATATAATACTATTTAGACTAGACAATGTCTCTGCAACTTTCTAATGACTTATAAATTAGATTTACTAAGGTATAGCCCATAAATATATTGTTGTCTATTTAGATAAAACTAATATATTTTATGTCTAGTGATCTTAGTATAGTAGTTAGGTTACAAGACTGCTATGCAAGAGGTCTGGAGTTTAAATCCTACTGTCAACGATTTGAATAATTACTCAGACCTTTATATCTAACTTATAGTAAACTTTGCTTATTTCTGGAGATTACAACTCCGTAAATCATATTGTACCAATGTCAATTAGACATTAGAAGTATGATGTAATGTTTGAGTTACATTGTACAAATAAATCTTAATAGGATCTAAAAGCAAGGGACCTGCATAGTAAAAATCTTGAGTTTGATAAAGTAGTGTTACAGATAGCATAGCCTTCTTAGTACACTATAAGTAACAGCGACACGGCTATCTAATTATTTTAAGAAGCGGTGTCCAAGAGGGAAGTTTCTTTAACTGATTGTAAAGACAAGTTCCACTCTACAAGAGGCAGTTCA